GTGTGCACGACGTTGGGCCGGTATCCAATGAAGAGCATGACGCTGCCGCCAGCTCCCTGCTGTACAGAAAGAAGAGGGAGAAGGAGGAGGAGTTGATTTTACTGTACGAGAAGAAGGCGAAGAATGGGGAGGGTGATTTATACAGTCTTGTCGCCGTGAACCTGAAAGACAAGCTGCCGCAGATAAAAGAGGTGGTGCAGCATTGGACTGCATTGGACAAGGCACTAACAAACTGCGCTTCCACTGGCACTGTTGACCCGCGGATAAAGAATGTGTGTAGGGGCCCTATTCCCACCAAAGGACTGGTTGGCCTCTTGTCGAGCACATGGGATGGCACTGCATGGAAGGACGAGTACCTCGGTGTGAACGCAACGGTGAAGACTGGAGAACTGGCAAGCGATGAGTGGGGCGTGACGTTCAAAGGTGCTGGGGCGGGGGCGGAGTGGCCGGTGGGCAGCAAGGGGCAGAACCAGCCGTACTACTTTGCGAACAACAAGTTCACTCTTGTGGCGACGGTGATGATTAACGCGGTGCCGGAAAAAGCCAGCAGCCCAATTCCTTTGATGGGTGTGAGGATGAACGACGCAAACAGCACTGTGCTTGTTGGCCTGTCGTACACGAGGGACGGGAAGTGGGAGGTGACGGTCAATGGTGATCCGCAGGAGCTCTCAGATGACGGTTATACGTGGGAGCCAACGAAAATGTATCAGGTGGCAATGAACATGAATTGGGATGAGTTCTCTGTCTTCGTTGACGGGGCCAATATATACGACAGCGATGATGATGAAGATGAGGAGGGCACCGTTTCTAAGAATGTGGAAGCCCTGTTCAAGTCGCACCGGATCTCGCACTTCTACTTTGGCGGTGACAGCGCGGCGGAGGGCACAGCAACCAGCCACGATGTGACGGTGTCCAACGTCCTGCTGTACAACGATGCACTTTTTAGCAGTGAGATTGGGAAGCTCAAAGCGAGCAAAGTCGAACTTCCACAGCCGGCTGCAGAGAAACAAACAGAGCGGGAGGACGATTCCTCGGTGACCACCGGTGGTCTAAACGAAAAGAACAATGCTGCTGATAATTTGCTTGATGAAGAGCGGTCACCAGCGGATTCGGGGGCTGGGAATGCATCGCCCTCTGCCCAGGGGCCGGTAGCTTCGCCACCATCACCTTCCACGTCGGATTTCTCAGCAGAAGAGGGGGACCAAACAAACGACGTAGGCACCAAACTATCGGGGCAGGAGGACGCGACACAAACACCGCCGCAACCATCTTCTGAGGGCGCCTCTGAGGCACATCACGGTGGGGATGCTGCCGGAGGATCTGACGAAGGTCGCACCTCGAACGAGGCGGAAGAAGAGGGGGAAATGAAGGAAGAAGAGGAAGATGGCAATGATGTGTCGGGGCTCCCACTGGCTCCATCATCATCATCACCGGACATGAAATCGGCTGCTACACCGGGTGAAGATGCGCCGGCTGCTGTGGCGCCTGAAAACGCCAGTGGGAAGCAAATGCTTGGCCCCGGAGCGGAGCACGTTGCACCTGAAGCGGCGGTGGGATCAGGCGGCAGCTCTGCTGCAATCAACGATGCCGGGAATAACGCTCCGGTGCCTGCGGGGCCACTACAACCACCACCGCCGTCAAGTGGTGAGAAGGAGGGAGAAGCTGCAGAGCAGCAAACAAGCGATAACGCAGCAGGTGCCGCTCTACCAGGCGCTGGTGCCGCAGCAACTGGAGCTGCAAACGCCAGTGGGAAGCAAATGCTTGGCCCCGGAGCGGAGGCTGCTGCACCTGAAGCGGCAGTGGGCCCAGGCGGCAGCTCTGCTGCAAACAGTGACGCCGGGCAGGCTCCCGCGAAGGACACAAGCGACATTTCTCCGCCCGGCGCAGTTGAGGTGTCTAATGGAGACAATAAGGAGGCGTCGCAGGGAGCCGACAACGCCCCGGCTAATAAAACCGCTCTACCCGAACCTCAGGCGATTCCCCCGACACGCAACGCGGCACCGCTTTCTGGCAACGTCTCCGCTACCTTCAAGAACATCACTGGCGTGAGGCTCGATGAAGGAGGCGGTGACGGCGCTGAGTACGGTGGATACGTGCGGCGCCTGTTGCTGCTTGTCCTGCTGGGGCTGTGGGGCATTGCGGCTCTCTCCGCTGCGTAAAAGGGAGAGTGCAGTTGCGACTCCGCTTGGAAAGTGTGTGCCGCAGTACCGACCGCGACTCGCTTCGTTAACACATCTTTTTTGTTTGTTTTTGTTTTTCTTGCTGCCGATGCCCTGCTGGGACAATCAGCACCCTTTTTTTTTTGCTTTTTGCTCCAATGGCAGTTTGCCGTACGCGATGTGTCATGGGTGGCGGCCGCATTGCTGTGCGCCCCACTGACGACGCAGCCGACGCGTTGAAGCGCAGGCCGCATGCCGCACGAAGTGTGGGAGGGATGTGCGGGCTTGTGGATCACGGCGGTCCTTTTTTTTTCCTTTTCCTTTTTATTAAGCGCAGGCAATAAATATACGCGAGCGGTCCTCTTGGGCTTTTGGACACGCGAAGGAAAAATGTTTGTCGAAGTTATTTCTTTTTTTTTTTTGCGAGAAACCCTGCTGGACTTCCACTTTTTAAAGCTTTTCGTTGTTCAACTTGTTTTTTTTGTTTGGTAAATCACTGCGGATTACTTTTAGTTTGCGCCGTGTTCACCGCTGTCGTTGCGTGTCTCCGTGTTTTGTTTGCTGCCGCTGCTGGCTGTGCCGCTGACATGCCTTCATTCTTCTTCTTCTTCCATCTAGAGGCACCTGTAGTTCACGAGGAGGATTCTTCAGGTTTTCCGCAGCGATGGCACGGGAGTGACGGGGTGTCCGCCCGCCGCTTTGAAGGCACCCGCTGCGGAGGGAGAGAATGTGCGGGGTGTGCGGCGTGTCTTGCTGCGAGTGTGTGGGGCACCACCCATCGCAGCCTGCCGTGCGACGTGATGCAGATCGGTGAGGGCAAATATTCGGCAGCGGCAGACCGTGTGGGGGACGTGGATCTGCCCCGTCCTTCGCGTTGGGGCTGTGTGAGTGCGCTGTGCGGCTGGCTTCTCCTCCGCGTGTCTCTTTTCCTCGCACGAGGGGGGTGCAGTGCTTCGCCTTTGCGGTGTGACGTCTGCCGCGGTGTGTGTGTTTTTTGGCGCGACCCCGAGTGATTCGTCTGTC